TCACTGCTCTCTCCCATCTCTCTAGGAAACTCAACATAATCTTCAAAATGAGCTCAGGCTTTCATGAAACAGGATATTGTTGTCAGCAAGTAGCTACTGTTTTTTTTCCAGCTCTGAAAAGCTAGAGCAAGAACTACAAAGGGCCTGGCTACCTTTGGGGAGAACTGTAAGAAAAATAAAAACTCAATATCTCAGTAAGTTATCTTTCTACACTAAGTGCTAAGGCAAGTCAGCATTTCTGAACCTCATTTTCTCATCTTAAAGTAGAGATGATCATTATCTTGCCAATTTCTCAAAATTTTGTGTGAATCAAAAAGCCATAGTCTAGCAGATAATAAGAGCTCACTAAACATTGACTGAATTATTAACAATGTATGCGAAAGTAGATGACAGTATCTGACACATTACTAAGGTCTAAATGTTTTTTAATCGGAATCTGTAGAATTTTTAAGATTTAATATTAATGTCATTAGCTATTATGGTGCTGGAATTTTGTGTTTTCCAGGACATCAAGATGACAACATACACACATGGTCAGCCCAGTCTTTCTCTAGGAGATGCAAAACTCAGAAGACCAATGGTCATCGAAATCATAGAAAAAAAAATTGAATATCTTAGAACAGAAAAGTAAGAGACACACCCAGATCGAAAATCTTAAAAAAAAAGAAAAAAAAGAAAACACCTTTATTTGCAGATCTTCTGTATTGCCATTGTTTCTGGGCATCTAAGATCTTATTAACTTTATTGAGTTGGTCATGAAGAAAGCTTTTTTAAAAAAAGAACTGAAGGGAAACATGGGCAGATGAAAATAATGGTTTGTTGGAATATTGGGGTTGTGAATAATTTCTTTAATTTCTTTTGCTTCTTAAAAAATATCCAAAATTATTACTGAAATTCTTTGCAAGAAATATTTCTTGTGCAATAAACATTTTAAAATTAAAAGTAATTAGGAGAATACCATTTTGGGAGCTACTTATATTTAACTGATTATCAATTATAATTAAATTCAGTTTGTAACTGATTGCCTCAGCCACAGTGCTGAGTTCAAGAAAAAGAAATACAGATCCCATGATGTACATACAGTTTCACATTACCATTTTGACTTTTAGATTATTAGAGCTCAAAAATAAGATCAAAATATGTCGATCTTAGACCTTAGACATTTTAGATTTAGGTATCAGTCAGAATAAGTAAAATTAGATCTAGTAAATTTCTTTGGATGAAGTTTTGGAAATCTTCAATTATTTTAAATATATCTGGACTAATTAAACAGTAATTTTCTAGAAGGCCTAGCCAAATATAATCAACTTTTTCAAATTAATTTTTTTAGTAGCAAGAGCAGTATTTTTGGATTTCGATAGCTCATAAAATTTGGCTATGTTGGAATATATACATATTTATTAATGGCAAAATTTATTCTCTCTTTAAAAGAGCTCCATTTTAGAACCACTCTAAATATTCTCAGAAAGAGAATTATATCCTCTGACTAGAATGCAAGTTCCATGAGGAGCAAGAGTTTTTTTCACTGCCTCTTCCTTGGCACATAGAAAATACCTTCCACATAGTAAGTGCTCAAGAAATATTTGATGTTGAATAAATATGTAATAACAAATGACTATCCAGGAAAGGATATATTCATTAGGAGTATATTAGGTTAAACTTAATTTTTTTTCTTTGTTTTTCCTATTAGGACTTTAAATATATATGGAACAGTGGTCTTTGGAACAACAGCTAGTTTCTCTGGAATGTTGGCAAACTTCATTTTCAGACACTGCTTCAAGGTTAAACATGATGCTCTGAAGACATATGCATCATTGACTACACTTCCATTTTTGTCTACTGTAGTTGCTTATAAGCTCCTTGTAACAGACGCTTTGTATTCAGGTAAATTTAAATTCATTAAAGTATAATGTGTTTATGTCTAAGTAAAATTACTCATTAACATACACTGTTGCTACCGCTCATAATAATCCCTAGCATGTGTGTATTGCTTTACTACTTACAATGTACCTTCACATATATTATCCTATTTCAACGCCACAACATTCCTACTAATCAGGCGGGACAAGTAGTATTGTGTCTTCTTTTTTACAGATAAGCAACAAAAACAGACATGTTCAAATCTAAGAACAACAAAAATAACACCAAGAAAGAAGCAGGTTTTGGCATACTACACACGATTTCAGATCCTACAATTTAAGTTTTGTGACATTGGGCAAGTCATTTAACCTGAGACTCAGTTGTCTTATCTATGAATTAGGACTAATAGTACTTACCTCGGAAGATTGTTGTGAGAATTAAGATAATGTATGTTAAATGCCTAACATAGTAGCTGGCATATTATGGGCTTCTAGTGTTATATCCTTTCTTCTCCTCTTAAGTTTCACAGCTACTAATTGCTGGAACTTCTGATCTCTGTTCATCAGGTCCCTGCTTAAATATCTCTTTCCCAGGGAAACCTCTGATTCTCTCGGGGTAGGGTAGGTTTCTAGATACATTCTCTATTCCTTTTAACTTCAAAGCATTGTGTATATTTAATATTATTCATTTAGATATTTGTCCAGTGTCTTTCCCAGTAGACTGGCCTGAAGGTCAGAGTTTGGGTCTCTTTTATGCAGCATTGTGTCCCTAGCACCTGCCTGACACATAAACAATAAGAATGTATTAACCTAAAATCCAGATGTCTGCTCTGCTAGTTTAATATTCTTTATTACGAAGTTGCTTCTGCAACAACCACATGTGCAAGAGATAACTCTCCTTATGTAAATAAAAACATGTTTAAATGTGGTGCATTTAGTCTATTGTGTGCCATAGACTAAATTTGTAATATTCTTTCTGCTGTTAAACCATGGTTGAAGACAATACAGATAACTACTCTATGAGGGCATAAGACTTTCTTAATGTTTATCTTGAGTTTTAAAGGGAGACCAAATTTACTTTTGTTTTCCAGGTAATATAAACCAGGAAAATTGTGTTCTGAGAAGCTCACTGATTGGCATAGTATGTGGTGTTCTATATCCCAGTGGTTTAGCTTTTTCTAAAAATGGGCGTCTGGCAGTCAAGTAAGTCTGTCTGTTCCTTTTCTTCCTTCCTTCCTTTTTTATTTATTTATTTTTTAATATTAGTAAACTCTCCTTATTCTTTAGCTGCCAATGACACATTTTAATCAAAATATATTCGTTTGGTATTTCAAATAGCTAACTTAACCTTTTTTGCTAGCTACATGAAAGACCTAGAATAGAAATTATCAGTTTAGGAGAAATCAGTGGATTTTTCATAGAATATGCATCCAGGAGAGTGCTTAACTCTTTTCTTTTTAGATATCATACTGTTCCACTGCCACCGAAAGGAAGAGTTTTACTGTATTGGCTGATGCTTTGTCAAACAGAGATAAAAGCAATGGTGATTCCTCTAATCTTTCAGACAGTCTTTGGAGTATTGAATGGTCTACAACATTATGCAGTATTTGAAAGTACACGTGAAAAAATTGTACATGAAGATTAACTGAACAATGAATAATTACTAAATCAGAAGAATGGATTTTTTTGTGATGAGGACTCAGACATTACTGAAAGAGTTAAAACTAACTGAGCAATTGATTTCTGTTCTTTTTGCCTAGTATATAGCAGGCACTCAATAAATATTCAGTAATTCAATAAACAAATGTAAGTTTTGTCTTTTCTCATTGTATGTGGAAATGGATTTGAGGCCTCAAGTTCTGATCTATACATTTATATATTTATTCATTCATCAAACATTATTAAGCATCTGCTGCATCTCAGGCACTGTGTTATACCTAACAAGAAATAGTCTTTACCAGAAGTAACTCACAATTAGAAGAGAAATTAAAAATGCAAACACATAGCATGAGAGAGCTTGAGAGGTATACACACAGTTCTGTGGGCACATTGAGGACACAGCTGTTAACTACTTGGGCAGGAGAGAAAACTATGGGGAGAAAAGTGACATTTGGTCTAAATTTTGAAGAAGTTGAAAGTTCATAAGAAAGCAAAATATAGAAATAGCATACAGCTATCTCTACCCTACCTACTCTAAACTTTGATTCAGTATACTTACTAGCTTATCATTAATAAATTATTTTCACTATGCTGTTTAAAGAACATGTATTGAGTGCATTCATATAGGCACCAGGGGTACAAAGATTCAGTCTCTGCCTTAAACAGTCCTAAAATCTAAAGAAAGAAATCACAGCATGCTTCTTTAAGTATGCTAGAGCATTCCTGAGCTACACATGTATCTTGGCTCAGGAAATGAAGACTCATGAAAAGAATCAGACACAAAATGAAACCCCACAGCTCATTTTTCTTGTCTTAATTATATTCTAATTGAGATTAAAGATATGGTCATCTGAGGCCCCAAACAACCCAAAGCAGAGATAGAAGTCAACAAGGTACTTTATGGGATGGTATATAACAGTGAAATAAATTCACTCTTTTGCTATTGGGAGAAAAGTCTTGTTAGCCAACCAGTTTTATATTCGCAGAATAATTCATCATACTTCAAACTCTGAGGAAAGGGCAAATTATGCAAGAAAGGGGTGAGGGGGGTGAATCAAGTCAAACAGATAACTAGAGAACAATGGCATTCATATTTTAACTCTTTAAAAAATTATTATATGAGTACCCAAATACTTTCTCATTGTGAGACAAATGATCCAGAAGTGTGAGTGTGTGTGTATACTTGCTATACAGAGCAAGTCTCCCTTCACTCCCACTTCATCTTATTTCTACTCAGTTCTCCAGAGGTAACCACTACCAAGTTAGCATGCCCCTTTTCCTTGCAATATTCTTTTGTAATTTATATATATTTTTAAATAAATTATATTATCCATACATATTATTCTAGAAATTAATTTTCACTTCATTATATATGACATGGAGATCTTTACAACTCAACACATATAGGTCTAACACATCCTTTTTAGTGACAACATTCTCGATGATTCCAGTATTCACATAGATGACCCTTCCAGCACCTTGGTCTCTACCCTACTACTTATCTCCACCGTCATACTTTACACCTATGCTGTCCAATATAATAGTCACTAGCCACTTATGGCTACTGAGCATTTGAACTGTAAACAGTTTAAATTGAAATGTTCGAAATACATTTTGAACATTTTGAAATGTTCAAAATACATTTTGAACATTTACTATGTAAAAATGTAAACTATCTCATGAATAGTTAAGCTCTTGATTACATGTTGAAAGCTTATTCTTTGGATATATTGGGTTAAGTAAAATACATTAAAATTAATTTTACCTGCTTTTTTAATGGGGCTACTAGGAAATTTAACATTAACATATGTGACTCTCATTATATTTTTATGGCATTAGGTTGTTCTAGACTTTGTCATTATCAATACATTCAAATTCTCCACAGTCTCAATTTTAAAATCCTATTTTCTGATCACTGCCTCCTGTCCTTCTAGTTCATTTCATTTTCACACCACAACTCCAGCTCTGCTTCAGCCTCACTAGAACCTACAATCCACCAACCGACTACTTTCACTGTCCCTCGCTCCCACATTGTTACTGTCTTTCCCTCACTTCAGCCACATCGATCTTTTTAAAGTTTGCCAATCTTGAGGCAAAAATAAATAAATAAACAAACAAATGAATCTAGTTAAAGTTGATTTTTAAAGATATTGGCATCTTGTTTTCTTTTGTGAATTTTCTGTTCATGTCTTTGGCCTAACTGATTTATGTAGAAGTTCTATAAATTCTGGATATTTTATTTCTTCATATGCTTTAGTAATCTAGGAAAGACAGCAAGATTGACTTATGTTCACCTCCCCTCCCATCTGAAAGCTGAAGAGATCTGCACCTTAACTCCATGACTTCAATTTGCCTTTTCTACAGCAGAAAAAGCTGGAATTCTATCAACATTTTCCTTCAGCTTTGGAAAGCAGTGCTTGCCAAAGGGGCTTTAAAAGGCCTGAAACAGGGAAGTTAGGGAAACCTTGATCTGGGCCTGAGCCCAAAAGTGAAGATAGGTGAACCACAGTGAAGAAAGGCAGCAAGGAACTAGAGGCAACATAATTCAGAGGTATGGTGTACAGCCTGGAGCTCTGCCCTCAAGGTTCAAATCCTGGCTTCACTACTTACAACAGGATTACTTTAAACTAGCTATTTCACCTCTTTGCACCTCAGTTTCCTCATCTGTAAAATGAAAAATAAAGAGTGTACTTACCTTACAATGTTATCAAGATTAAAACAAGAAGTCTATGTGTTACTGCCATTATTGTTTACTGTTGCTATTACTGCATTTATAGTCCTTTCCCTAGCATTATAAGTTTAGCATTTTTCTAGGAAAGATTATAAGGCACAGCAAAGAAAATACATAAGATATCTTTTATTTAAATAAATACGTATTCACTTATTCAGCTAATATTGATTCAAGACCTAAAGTTACCTAAACTTTTTGACTATGTTTCCTCTTAACACATACTAATAACTGCTTTGCAGTGAAGTTATAAAGATTAAAGGGCATGGAATTATACCATACCATACCATACCATACCATACCACATCTGGCATGTAGAGGTGCTAATAAATGTGTTTACATTGTCTATTTTCCTTAAATGGGTGTATAACAATGACTAAGATGTAGTCCCTACTATGAGAACTTCTTTTCTCTTTTGCCTTTTCTCCCCCATTTTGCCCAACTGCCTTAACCATGTTATTTTCCCCTTGCTTTTATATTTTATTGCATCACATTGTATATCTTGCAATTTATTGTTTGCATTAATTTTCTCCCTGATTTTGTACAATTGTATTGTCTTGTGTAAACTACTCAGTATTTGAATTTCCAAGTTTAAGCAGTAATATAATGAAGAGATGGTATTATACAAATGCAGCTGAAGTTCATAGCATTTGTTCATTCACCTTCCTAAGGCTCATTAAAAAAAAAAGATTCTTCTAAAGATACATAATCCATATTCCCCTACCTTCATCATCCTATCCCTACAAAGACAGTCACACTAACATGAATAAACACAAGTAATTAAATTTTAGTAGCCATGAATCCCACCAGCTTCACTAAAATAACAAAGCCCTCCTCAAAGTCTCCTCAACATAACATATAGGAAAAGATAGTAAACTTGAAGATAGAGCAATATAAACTTCAAAATAAAACTGACAAAAAAATTAACATGGTATTAATGAGTAATCTATAATTAAAAGTGTCTAAGTAAAGATGAGCAGAAAAAGTTCTTTTGAAACTTGAATGGCTGAACATTTTCCAAACTTGATGAAAACTATAAAACCACAGATTAAAGGAGTTCCCATCTAAGGTTGAAACATAAGATGCTCCTAAACTCACTTCCAAAGATAGTGAATCTACAGCTATACACAGAGCAATTCCCTCTGAAAGAAATCCAGAAACTAGCTAAGTGACACCTACACATCAGGCAAATGAGAAAACGCAACAAATGGGTAGGAAAGGCTGAGACACGCTCTTACAATAAACTCCATCCTCAGCACAGTGACATACTATAGGAGGGAGCTAAAAAAATCTCAGCTTCTTTCTTAGGAGGGAAAGGTTTGGTCCCAACACCTAGTGCCCCAACATTTAAGACTTCCACCTGAGGGAAAGCAACAGGCTTGCCATCCATGAGAGCCACAAGACTATAGCAAACAAAAAGCACTTATTAACTGGCAGGAGCACTCACCACAGCTATCTCCCCAGGGGTCAGCACCAAGGGAGCAGGCAAAAAATGTCCATCTCCCAGTTTTCCCTGAATGGAGTCTATTTGCACACTTTACAAGATGCTGCCTGAGGGTCAGAATTCTAATTTAACACACATCTAGGGGATACTTAAAATCCTTCCCAGAGACCAGTGAACACTCCTAAACTTGTTCTATGAGGTCAACATTAACCTGATATTAAAAAAAAGAAAATCACAGGTAGACTCAAGAAAAGAAAGCTATGACCAACATTCCTGATTAATATTGATAAATGCTGATAAAATACTACTGAAAAAATATTAACAAAGTGAATTGAACATCACATTAAAAGGATCATACATCATAACCAAGTGGGATTTATACCTGGAATGCAAGGATAGTTCAATATTCAAAAATCAATCAACGTAATATACTATATTAACAAAAACAAGGACAACACCATGTGATTATCTCAATCAATACATAAAAATTCAACACAGTTTTATAATTACAGTTACCCAAAAAACCAGGAATAGAAAGAAACTACCTTAACATAATACAAACCACATATAAAAGGCCGATAGCTAATATCACACTCAATGATGGAAGACTAAAACTTTGTCCTCTAAGATGAAGAACAAGGCAAGAATGCCCGCTCTTGCCAATACTATTCAACGTAGCATTAGAAGTTCTAGGAAAAGTAATTAGACAAGAAAAAGAAATTAGAAAAGAAGTAAAATTACCTCTGTTCACAAATGACATGATCTTATATGTAGAAAAACCTAAATATCCAATAAAGACTGTTACACCTAAAAACAATTTCAGCAAAGTCGCAGGATACAAAATCGATACAAAAATTAATTGTGTTTCTCTACACTAACAATGACCAATCCAAAAAGAAAAAATTAAAAGACCAATCCCATTTACTACAGCATCAAAAATGATAAAATACTTAGAAATAAACTTAACCTAGGAG